GCCCGTCTCAGCCCGGAGGACGGCGCGGGGGGCAGCGCCGGGGTCGGGTTTTGCGCGCCCCAGCGCGTCGGGCGCGAGAAGCTAATCTTGCGTGCCCCTCCTGTTCGAAGGCCTTATCCCGAGCCCGCGGGAGGAGGAGGAGCAGCAGCAGCCGCCCTCGAGCCCAGGCCCGGCGCTGCGCTCCTCGCGTCGGTATCTGCAGCAGCAGGCGCTGGCCCCGGGCCTGCCTGCGTGCTGCGGGAGGGGAAAGCAGAAGTGAGCGGCTCAACGGCTCGGGGCCCAGCGGGGCCTGCGTTGTGCTCCTGGTCGTTGCTGTGGTCGAACTGCCGGGAGCCCTCCAGCAGCTGTCTGGGGCTGGGCTACAGTGCTCTCCGCCGGCACCTACACTACTCATATTTTATCGTTTGTGGTATGGGGGAGTGAACCCAGGACCTTCTTGCGGAAGTATATTCCCAAACTTTGTAATTTTTTATTTTGAGACAGGGTCTCGCTAAATTGCCCAGGCTGAGTTTAAACTTGCAGTCCTCCTGCCTCAGCCTCTCAGAAGCAGGGATTACAAGCATGCGCCGGACTATCCCATACCTAAGTGAGAATTCATCAGGCCCTGAGGGGAGGTGACTCTGGGAAACGGGACACTGTGACATGCCAGTCTGCTGTCCCCACAGCCTTCTGAGGAGCCTGGGAGACGCGGGAGGGTTTGTGGTATTGCTCTTCCTTGTCAGGCCCCTGAGAACCCCCAAAGGAAGGTTGATCGACTCCGGCTTCGTCAGATTTCGCCTTGTGGGGCTTAAAAATGCACGAATAGTACGTGAAAGCGTTCTGTTTGTAAACCACTCACTTAAGCATTACAGAAAACTGGACTCCAGCTGGACTTGGCTGTCCCTTCTTCTGTCCTCTTTGCTCCACCACTTGGCCTCATTTTTTGTTTTTGTTTTGATTACTGAGATGAGGACTCCCTGTGAAGTTCAGGCAGGGCCGGAACTCACTGTATAGCTGAGGTGGCCTTGAACTCGCCTCCTGCCTCAGCCTCCAAAGTGCTGGGATTACACAGGGAAGCGCCACCACACCCGGCCACTTGGCCTCATTAACTGCCGCCTGTGCTGTGTCCAGGAGGAGGCCAGCGGAGGCGGGGAAAATGACCGAGTGCGGAACCTGCGGAGTGAGGTGGAGGGAGTCAAGAATATTATGACCCAGAATGTGGAGAGGATCTTGGCCCGAGGCGAAAACCTGGATCACCTCCGCAACAAGACCGAGGACCTGGAAGCCACTGTGAGATGTGACCTTCCGGGGCTGGCGGGCGTGTGTGCCAGTGTGTATGCGCGCATGTGCGCGAGGGGGCTGGAGTGGGGACAGAAGCTTTTATGTGCTTGTGAGGGTGGGGCCTAGGTGAGCAGGAGGGATGGGTGTCTGCCCTGTTTCGGAAATCGATGTGACCTGAGCCCCTACTTCTAGTCTAGCTCTGCTCCACTGACTGGTATGGGATCTAGGGAATGGGTCCAGGGACTGGGCCCTGGTGGGGAGTGGCACCCTCAAAGCATTCTCTGGGACAGATACATGGCTCGGCCAGCCTGGGCACTGTGAGGTTTTTTTCCTATGAAAATGATTTTCCCTTTGAAGTCTTTACCATTGTTTATTTGTTTGTTTGTTTGAGATGAGGTCTCCAGTATGTAATTCAGGCTGATCTTAAATTCACTCTGTAGTCCAGGATGCCCTTAAACTCCTGGTGGTCCTCCTGCCTCAGCCTCCCAAGTGCTGGGATTACAGGGATGTGCCACCACACCCCACTTCCTTTACTGTCATTTGGACCTGACCTCCCCTAGGCAAAACATTGGCTCTGGGAAAACCCTCAGGCCACTGGCCTGCCCTAGGTGCTATTAGACAGGGCTGGAAAATTGCTAGAGTCTTGCTGAGCCAGCTTTCAGGAGAAGCTGGGAAGCACAATGCACCTCTTTGATCCCAGGGTCCTAGCTCAGCTGAGGCCGAATCTTATCTCCAGCACAATCACTAGTCCTCTTTCTAGCTAGGGACCAGGGCAGCTGCTCAGGAAGGAAGGAACTCCAAAGTCCAGCCAAGGCTACATCCAGCAGGGTCTGGCCCTGGATTTCTTTTTCTTTCTCTTCTTTCTTTCTCTCTTTCTTTTTTCTTTTCTTTTTTTTCTTTCGAGACAGTGGTTCACTATGTGGTTCAGGCTGGCCTTGAACTCACTGTGTAGCCCAGGCTGGCCTTGAACTCACGGCAGTCCTCCTGCCTCAGCCTCCCAAGTGCTGGGATTACAGTCATGTGCCACCATGCCCAGCTTGAGTCTGGCTTTCTGAGTCCTGTGTTTAATTTTAAGTATCTGTCACTCCTTGGTCTCTTTGGGGACTTAGTACCTGTCTCCACAGGCTTTTGGATGTGTTGTGGCCCAGGGAGACCTGGTGTCTACAATTCAAATTAGGGGAGAAGAGGAGTTTCTCTCCCTTCCGACCCCTGTGCTGTCTTGCACCTCCAGCATCCACAGCCCCTCCAGCATCCACAGCCCCTCAGGGACAAGAAGTCCTGGAGCTCGCAGATATGTCCACCTGGAGCCTGCCCCACTCAGCCTGTGGGTCTGCCCCCCTAAGGGTAGATTGTGCTGCCTGGGTCCTAGGCTGGATGTGAGCATGTGTCAAAGCCCCTAGGCGTGCCTCTCCCACATTCAGGAGAAGTCCCAGGAGCCCAAATGTGAGCTGGATTCCACTGACTGTTAGGAAAGTATGTCTGTCAAAGTAAGAGGACAGTACATCTTTTATTTCATGTTTGTTACAATTTGTAACATAAATATTTATTTTTGGTTTTTAAGAGACAGGGTGTCAGTTAGGCATGGTGGTACATGCCTGTAATCCCAGCAGTCAGGAGGCTGAGGCAGGAGGATCAATGCTAGTGAGTTCAAAGCCAGCCTAGACTACATAGTGAGACCCTGTCTCAAAAAACAAACAAACAAACAAAAAAAACCAAAAAACCAGAGACAAGGTGTCACTATGAAGTTTAGACCAGCCTGGAAGTTACTGTGTAGCCCAGTAACTTGTGACCTCAAATTCATGGCATCCTCCTTCCTCAGCCTCCCAAGTGCTGGGATCACAGGCAGGTGCCACTAGGCCTTTGGGCATATGGCCCGAGGGCATCTGTGGAAGGAGCCACTGCCTCACTCCCTCTATTTTGTCCCCAACAGTCCGAGCACTTCAAGACCACGTCGCAGAAGGTGGCTCGAAAGTTCTGGTGGAAGAATGTGAAGATGATTATCATCATCTGTGTCATTGTTTTTATCATCCTCCTCTTCATTATCCTCTTTGCCACTGGTGTCATCCCCACCTAGGGAGCCTCTCCCTCCCCGCCCTGCTCTTCAGGGGCCACCTGCCATCACGGGGGCCGTGAGGGGCCCTCTCGCCTGTCTCCCTCAGGAATGCTGCTTGTCCCCCTGAAGCCCCAGAGGGCACCCTGGTACCCCGGAAGGAGAGAACTGGACTATGGCTGCATTTCCCGGGGCCTCAGAGTGGGTGGAGAGACCCCGCAGAACCCACATGTGGCTGGGGACCTATTGGTGGCTGGTGGGCAATAAAGACCTTTCAATATCCCTGAGTGTGAGGATCTTCTCACTTTGGTGTACCCTCGGCCATTCTGTTTCTTGTCTTCCTCTGACATTGGAGGCCCAGGTTGTTAGAAGAATAGAGAGCATGTTTGGAAAAGGTACAAGGTTCCTATTGTTTTGTTAGTTTTTTGTTAGTTTGTTTATTAGGACAGGGTCTTGCTTGTAGTTCAGGCTGGTTTTGAACTCACTATGTAGTCCAGGCTGTCCTCAAACTTGTGGCAATCCTCCTGCCTCAGCCTCCCAAGTGCTGGGATCACAGGTGTGTGCCACCACACCTGCCTTTCTTGTTTTCATTTTTTGTTTGTTTGCAGTACTGGGGATTGAACTACTCCAGGACTTCCTACTGAGCTACATTTCCAGTACATCGTGAGGTGGGCCTTGCTAAGTTGCTGAATTGCCCTGGCTGACCTCTAACTGTGATCCTTCTGCCTCAGCCTCCAAAGTGCTGAGCTTGCAGGTGTGCACCACCAGGCGGGGCTAAGGAGCACCTGTTTTTATTTTACCCTGTTCTGTGCACTGTCACAGGTCTCAGACAGCAAGTTTCTTGGGATCTTGGCATAAAGACAGTTCAAAGCATTTTGGAGTAGCATGCAAGCTTTGTTTTCGCTCTTGGGTCCTGCAGGCCCCTTTACGTCTCTTCCTCTTGGAGCCCAAGATCTACCAGGATAGAGAACAGAATATGGCGTCGGGGCTCCTGTCTCTTTGGCCACGGCCATCGCTTTTATTTTATTTTATTTTTTCATCACTTTTATTTTTAAAACTTTTAAATTTTGAGACAGGTCTTGCTAAGTTGCCCGGACTAGCCCCAAGGTTATGATTCTTCTGCCTTGGCCTTCTGAGCAGCCAGGGCCGCAGCGTGTGTCACCGTAGCTGGCTTCCCGTGTCTTTTCCATGGCCCTGATGTCATCCAACTGACTGCTTGTCCTCTTCTGGCGGTGCTGTGTGTTTTGTCGCGTCTGCCCCTGCCCCGCGGAAACGGAGCCCGCGTGGGTCCCATGTGTCGTGAGGGGCAAGCGTCTCTACCGTGTCCCAGGCTGAGCACAGTCAGAGTCACAGGACAGGGCCGCAGCCTCCTTCTGCCCCTTGCACAATGAGCCCTTCTGTCCCCTGGCCTCCCTCCTCCCCACCAGGTCCCACGGTCATTGTTGGCCATTGTGGCGCCTTCCCAAGCCCGGTGGCTTCCTTTGCCTCGTGGGTTCTTGCCATCTGACTTGACCCTGTTTCCGACAAAGGTTTTTCATAATTGGGAAGAACCTCTGGTGGGAGGAAGTGGGGAAGGGTGAGGTTGTAAGTTAGGTTCTGGAATCACCGCCTGAATCCTGGGCAGGGCAGGGGCCAGCAGAAGAGACCTGGGGTGTCTGTGCCCCAGTGATCTCCATCCTCTCCTCAGCCACCAATGCAGCCAAAGCTGGGGTTTGGACCCAGTCTGGCCCCAAGGGAGCCAGGGCTCAGTGCTGGAGGAAGCTCGGCTGTGGGAGAGAAGCCTCATGCCCTGGGGCAGGAGGGGCCTCCTTGGCGTGTTGGGTGGTTTGGATTGGGAGGAGGATGGGAGGTGATTTTCTCTACAGCAGCAAGTAGAGGTTGGGTAGATGCAGCTCAAGAAGGCCTGGCAGGGGCGACAGACAAGCTGGCGTCCCTAACTAAGAAGCAGTTTCACAGGAAGGCGGAACTAGCATTTTCTCCCCACCCACCCCTGGTTTTTTCTTTGTGTTTGTTTTTTGGGACACGGTCTTACTATGTAGTTCAGGTGGCCTTGAACTCACTATCTAGCCCAAGCTGGCCTTAAACTTTGATTTTTGGTGCCAGGAATCAAACTCAGGACCTCACACTTGCCCCACAGGTGTGGTGCTGCTGAGCTATATCCCCAGCCCCATGGCCTTGAATTCTTTGCAGTCTTCCTGCCTCAGCCTCCCCAGTGCCGGGATTGCAGGCATGTGCCACTTCACCAGCTATAAGTGAGGGAGTAACTCTCAGGTATGGGTGGGGTGTGCTCACCAAGGTGGCACAGACCCCTCCTGGCTTGTTCATGGCATCTGCAGCATCAAGTGTAGGGGGGGCAATGACCCTCACACGCATGCCTCCCAAACCCGGTCCACTCTATCTTCCTTCTCCGATGCAGCGCATCCCTGTGCCCATTTCACACAAGGGGCGCCCGAGGGCTCATCAGCCTGCAGACCTGACAGACACCAGGTCCCCAGTTCACAGGCAGGGGTGTCGTTAGAAGTCCGCCGGTGGCCCAGCAGGAGGCGCCCCACGGACCCCGGCTGCGGTCCCCAGCTGCTTTCGGTTGGCCCCGGCCCGCGCCCCGCCC